CCTGTTTTGGTACCAGTACCATGCTGTTTTTGTCACTATTGCTCTGTAATATAGTTTGAAATCTAGTATTGCTATACCGCCTGATTCACACTTTACCACTCAGCTATAATCCCAGCCCAAGGCCATATCTCTTAAATGTCCATGACATCCCCCAATTTCACCTCCCTGGGGACCAAACCTTGGGGGATACTCAAATTACATCCAAACATTAGCAAGAGGCTTTGAATGATAAAACTCTTAAGAAAGATAAAATGAAATATTCACATGACTTTGGATTGCTTTTTTCCCTCCTTACCTCCCTCCCTCCTTCCCTCCCTTCCTTCCCTCCCTCCATCCTTTCTTTTTTCTCCCCTCCCTCCTCCTCGTCCTTCTCCTTCTTTTTTTGTTAACTCAACATTTTTCCTCTCTCTATCCCTCAAAGCTTCACAAGTATGTTAGTTTTTGAAAGTACATTTAACAAACCAGAAAACTAAGGAAGAGCTTAGAACTCAAGATTGTTACTTTACAATCTAAACCATCTAAAGCAGATGTTTTCAAAACATTTTCTATGAGGTGATCCTTATTAAATTGACACAACAACCTATAAAATGGTGCTGTTAGCATTAGTGCTGTTGAGATGGGAAAGGGTTGAGAGAAACCAGAAGCTGCTTTGCCTCTGCCTCCAGAGACATGTGCCAAGACCAAGATAAGGCACATCCCAAGCTTTTTTTTTTTTTTTTTTTTTTATTGTTGGTCGTTCAAAACATTACACAGTTCTTAATACATCATCTTTCACAGTCTCATCCCAAGCTTTTGTTCGTGCAGGCTTTGCCCCTGGGAAACAGGCTGGACTACCTGGAGGCCTCTCCTGCCTGGACAGAGGCGGCCATGTGAAAGTAAGTCAAGACCTTTCTTTGCCAAGGAGCCATACTTAATTCTCAGTCCTTTGTTCTCCTGCTCTGGGTCCAAGGAGAAGTTGATCCAAAAAAAAAAAAAAAACAAACAAACAAAAAAAAACCACAAGATAAGCAAAGAGGAAAAGAAGATTCTTTCTAAGCCTAGAGCAGGCCTGGCTTATTTAACTTCCTCAAGCAAAACAGCCCGGGAATAGTGTTGAGTTGCTATCCTCAAGGATTCACAATTCAAAGAGATCAGGATTCTTCAGAGGTGAGACTGCCACCACTCACCACTTGGCCCACTACGGAGACCTTGCTTCACCAGCCTCATCCTCCTTAGGGAACAGAGGGTGGCGGATGACAGAAGCATACAAGGAGGACTGGAGCCTCCATACACCTAGAAGTCATTTCTGTAGGATAGTTGAAGACACTAAGGCTCAGAGGCTAAGTGGCTTGTCCCAAGTTTGTGCAATGGGGCAGAGCAAGGCCTCAAACTGGGGTCTTCTCATCTAAGGCCAACGCAACAATTGCATCCATTCCAGCTTTTGACCTACAGAATTTCATTTCCTTCTGAGATTGAATAAAAGGATCAGGTCATGCACACTGGGGCATCACCACCATGAAGTGGAATGAGGGGAAGATAGATGAGTATATAGTGAGTGTAGTTCCTTATATGCAGAGGAAGGAAAGATCTGCTATATAAAGGAGGATTTGACAGAGCTAAGTAGTCAGAACTGGGTTACTTGATGACTATAAGGGATATGATATCAGTCTGCAAACATCTGAAGGATAAAAACACCTGGAAAGATGAGCCGTGTAGCATTGGAATCCAGGATATGACGAGC